CAAACACCACACAACATCTCAGCATGGAAAAAGCTCAGGAAACCAGAACTTCATTGAAACCAAAAACAGCTCTGCTGTCTTATTCTTCTCACTTTTAAAGTGGCTCAGAAAAATACTGATGTCTATGAATGGTGGCTGGGAAAGCAGTCAGACATCAGTCTACTCCTGTTCTGTCTGCACTGTTTTCCCATCCATGTAATTACTTCAAAACTACGACAGGAAATTGAATCTTAATTGAACTGAAATGGAAAATAAGCCATGACAACCAATCATTGTTTTTTCTTGAAGTTGGTAATCCATTATCTATAATATACAGATCTTTTGTAGAATACATACAACATGATGAGCATTACTTGCAATTAACATGGTAAACAGACTGATTCTTATATTGTGCTTTTCTATTCAAAGCGCTCTACACCTGTTCACACAAACCTTCTTCTTTTAGTGCTTTCTAGCTAACATTCATGCATGTTCGTGCTCCCATGGATGCAGAAGATGCAACTTATCGTTAGTATCTTGCCCGAGGATACTTAGCCTGCAGACTGGGGAAGCCGGGGATCGAACAGTAGATGATCTGCTCTACCTCCAGAGCTACAGCTCGCTCACGTTAAAGGATCATGCTAAGCTGAAACTAAAACTACTTGTGGTGTAACTGCATGTAGCCTGTATTGTTTTGCACACATACAGTGGTGTGAACAGGTGTTTGCCTCCCTCCTGACTGAAAATGGCACCAAGATCTAGATTATTATGTTTGGTTCATTATGGAAATGGTTGTAAAGATTTATGCTTTCTTTTGAAATCTTGAAAGCAACTTTAACGATAGTACTTTCATCTCTATGTGCAAATGTTCCACAAAAAAAAGTTCCATCAGTAAAGACACTTTCAGACTTTTTCATCTAGTAAGTGTCGGAGACAGAGCGACCTTTCTCTATATGTGTGTCAAAGAAGAGAGTTTGTGAAGCTTTTTAGGATGTTTTTTTATTTAGCTCCTGTTACACTGATAGTAAGTACTTTTTCAGCATATGCTGGTTGCCTAGATACATGCTATAAAAGTAGAAATACTGGTAAAACATTAGTGGCTTAATGTTTGAGCCTATTTGTGAGGTAAGAAATACAACCTGCTCATCAGGGTTAGAAACCTGAAAACATCCTTCAAACTAGGCCTCTAAAATACAGTCGAGGCTCAAACAGTATAAAAGGTTAAAATACAAAGTATTAGTTCACAGTAAGCCAGCTATTCCACTGAATGGAAAGAGCTGCTCCGATTTATCGAGAGCTCAAAGCTCTTCCTGCTACGAGCCACATTTTCCCTTTTCTCCATCCTTCAGCTGCTTCATCTACATCTACACATCTGGTTGAAGAAAAACGTATGCTGACATGGAGAGGACAACGGTCCAGGACGTTGGAGCCAACATCACTTCACACGTCCTATTGGGAGAGGCGAACTATTGGAAACTACATGTGGGACATCTTCAGCACTGAATAATGGAATAAAAGTCTTTCCTGTGATTACCTCAAACCCTCCACTCTTAGTACAAATACAGTAATGACACACCTCCCAGACTC